CCAACCTGTCCTGTAATCCCCAGGGCAGGCTGAGCTGTGTGCTCTTTGTGCTTAGGCCTCGGAGGAGCTGCTGAAGGAACACTACATCGCCCTTCGCAACCGGCCCTTCTACAGCCAGCTGGTCAAGTACATGAGCTCTGGGCCCGTGGTGGCCATGGTGAGTGCTGGCCAGGTTCTCCAGAACCAAGAACAGAAAGTAAGTGCTATGTTTAAGCAGCATTGGCTTGTGGCATGATGGAAACAAGCTGGCATCTCTCCTCAGAGGGCCTCTTGAAGCCGTTCTGAACTGCAGCCACGTTTTCTGCATTAAATCCACAGACGATTCCAATTCTTTTCCAAAATCACCTTTTGAAGACTGTTTAGAGGGAGACCCTTTCCTGTCTCTCTCCCAGGGGGGGAATAGGACCTGCTGGGGCAGTTGTGGAAGCTGGTTCTGGTTTTGCTGCTCAGGTCTGGCAGGGTCTGGATGCGGTGAAGATGGTTCGGACGATGATTGGGGAGACTGACCCTGCTGAATCCAGGCCTGGCACCATCCGAGGAGACTTCTGCCTTGAAGTCAGCAAGTGAGAGCTTGGGTTTTTTTGTTCCCTCTGTATTTTGGGGCATCCTGGCCAGGCTTTCCTGCACAAGGCTGCCTGAGGCACCACGCCAGCCTGTGGCCATAGAGGAGACCTGTCTCCCTCGGGTGCTGGGAGCAGGGCAGCCCTGGCAGGAGGAGCTCACCTCTGCCTCCTGGGGCTGGCTTTGCCAGCAGGAGGAGCCTGGGTCTGTGTTTTTCCTGCCTGCTCTGTTGAAAGCAGGTGGGCTTGACTTGTTTTCTCTGGGGAATGGGGGCTGTCAGGCTGTGAAGAGGAAGAGGAGCCTTCTCAGCCCTCTCCTGAGAGAGCAGGGCACCCAGAAAGCTGCTCTAGATCCTGGTTTGGCTTTCTGTTCCATGGTGTCTGATACCAAACCTGCCCCAATAGACATGGGAAATAGGGAGGCAGAACTTGAGTTATTGACATACAAAGCAAACCCCAGATCAGCCACTTGCAGCTCCTTCTGTAGCAGAAAGGTTCCTCATCACAGGAGGGAGTGCAGGGACTGGCAGCTCCTGCACACCCATGACCTAAGCCCTGCTCAGTGTAACCATGAGCAGCCCCTGAGCTGGGAGGAGGAGGAGGCCTGTGTGGTGGGAAGGAACGTGGTGGGATGTGACTGGCTTAATCGATTTAATTGGTGCTGGAGAAGGGGAACGAAGCTGCTGGGGAAGGGTCTAGAGCCCAAGTGTGGGGAGGAGCAGCTGAGGGAGCTGGGGGTGCTGAGCCTGGAGCAAAGGAGGCTCAGGGGAGACCTTCTGGCTCTGCACAGCTCCTGACAGGAGCCTGGAGCCAGGGGGGGGTCAGGCTCTGCTCCCAAGGAACAAGGGACAGGACAAGAGGAAACAACCTCAAGCTGCCCCAGGGGAGGTTGAGGTTGGAGCTGAGGAACAATTTCTTGCCCTGGAGGGTTGCCCAGGGCTGTGCCAGGCTGCCCAGGGCAGTGGTGGAGTCCCCACCCCTGGAGGGGTTTCCAAGCCCTGGAGATGTGGTGTGAGGGACACGGGGCAGTGGGGACCTGGCAGTGCTGGGGTTAAAGTTGGACCTGATGACCTTAAAGGTCTTTTCCAACCTAAAAAATTCTATGATTCTATAACTAAATTGCTCGAGGTGAAGCTTTCCAAGCTGCAGCTCCTCTCTCCCACCTTTCTCTGCCTAGTGCTGGCTGACCCCTTTCTTCTGCTGCCCCACAGGAACGTGATCCATGGCAGTGACTCAGTGGAGAGTGCCCAGCAGGAGATCTCCCTCTGGTTCCACCCAGAGGAGCTGACTTGCTGGGAGAACACAGCTGAGCACTGGATCTACGCCTGAGAAGAGCAGCCTGAGGGATGGACATCTTCTCACCTGGGCACAAGGTGTTTCCATCC